CAACAAAAACGGCAATGACTTAGTTGCCAACCCAATAGCTATTATATATTCAAAGAGCGATTGTTATGATGAAAAAGTGTTTGGTTAGAGTGCTTATAGCCCTATTAAAATTTCCTCAATTATTTGCAAAGAGATTTAAAGAACGCAAACCATTTGTGATTTTCAAAGTTGTATTATTTAGTGCCTTTGAAAACCATTTCCTTTACCTACACATATGTTAAAGGTAGTCCCACTTCAAAACCATTAGATCGAAATATGCAATAAAAGGATGACGAGACTGAACAGCTTCATTGCTTTTCAGCTGTGTAATTTTATGTAAGTTAATTTGCTTCTAAAGCTTTTCTTTTTGTTTCTGACTTTTAAAGTTGCACAATGTCCGATCGAAGTGTAAATCAGCCATACTTGAGATTTAATGAGTTCGAAAATTATTTACCTTCTATTAGTTGTGCATGTTGATATTTTTCGACGGTTGAGTGTTTTCGAACTGACATGTACCATTGTTCACTCCAGTTTTTGCCATATAACTCATGCCTTCATACAGAATGGAGATAAAACAGAAAATAACGTGGAGGAAGAGACTTCAACCTCAGCATTATTTACTATTAATTTATTTCGCATTTAAGATGCATTAAGTTCAGTAAATTCTTATAGAAACATTATTTTATTTGATATTATCTAAAATATGAGATAACTTATATATCATCTAGCTAGCATCATCTTCCAGAGTGCAGGTTTTGATCAATCTAACCTAATTGATGAAACATGTCATTTGTTTGTTACTGTATTTATCTACGTGGCCGAAAAATTCGCGTGCGTAATTCGTTAGCCTTCGAAGTTGAACTAATTAATGCTCCCAACAGAAGTATAAAAAAGAAAGACTAACTCCGAACTTGCAGAAAGTGAACCGTCCCTTTTTTGCTTAATGCTCGTATTCCTCTCTCTAAATCTAGGGAGCCTTTTCACGCCAGGATACTTTGCCATTGAAGTTACTGAGAAACAGTCCGGGCTCATTCGTGCAGCAATTCAGCACAAGTCCCATCCATTCACTTGCACAATATCCCACCTATCTCACCTTTTACGTGATGTCAACTACTTTAGAAAATTAGGCTTTTATAGCAATTAGCAATCGACTATACCATTTGCATTTCACATGAACAATAACTGAGGGATATCTCTAGGACATCTGTCGGTTCTCTTTATTTTTTTCTTGAATATAATATACAGTAGTGAAGATAACATAGGGTCTGATCTTAAAATCACGGGACAAGATTATAAAACAACACCAAATCTCATTACATATAACGACAACAGAGAGAAAGCGTCCGAATCTGGTCTTCAAAGCGCCTTCAGTGAAACGAATTCATGCAGTTGGGGAGGCAGAGGTAGGCATTTAATGCGCGCGATTGTTGCTGATCCACCTAACTGTGCCTGTATTCGTGCTCTACAGAGTCTTTTAAGTGATCGGACCTAAAACGAAAGTTTAAATTTTGAGTACGAAAGGCTTTAATAAAAAAACACGAAGGGAGGACATACATTTGATTCTTCGTTGTGAAGCCAAGCACTAAGCCACGCCTCTCCAGTGTGATCATCGCCAGATGTAGAAAGAGCAAGTTTTTCAGAAAGAACTCCATGCTGCATTAACCAACGCGTAAAAGCAGCTAGATTCACCGGATCGCAACCATGATGCAATAACAAGCGCACCATCGGAAGGTCAAGCTTTGGGAACTTGACAGCCATATGCAGTGGTCCTAAACCGTCTTTATCCGGCCTATTAACTGCTGGTCCGTGAGCTAAAAGCTTTGCGGCGAGATCAAGGTGCCCATTTAACACAGCCGCATAGAGCGGTGTTCTTCCATTCATTTCAGCAGCATTAACATCCGCATGAGCAGCAAGAAGTAGAGAAACGATGTCAGAACGTCCATGATAGGTTGCAACAAAGAGGGGTGTCTTCTGATGCGAATCGGCTTGATCAACCTGAATGCATATAAATATATGTTACTTTTAATAAATAAGCAGAAGGTGATTTAATTATTAGATTATTACCTGAGCCCCATGTCTGAGAAGGGCATTAACAATGTTTAAATGGCCGAAATTTGCAGCGATGTAGAGGGGGGATTTCAAATCCTTATTAGGGATGTGAATGTCAGCATTGCATGAGAGGAGATAATCAACAACTGCCGTGTGGCCTCTACAAGAAGCCAAGTATATAGGAGTCCTTCCAAAACGATCCTAGGCAAAAGGAGAGGTTGCGTTTAGAGAGGTCATAAACACACTTAAGCCCATTGGGACATACACACACAAACACACACTAAACCTATGCAATCTGACCTTAAGAAACACCAAAGAACTTTTAAATATTGCAAATTAAAATAAAGATGACTACGTCAGGTTAAAGAAAGTATATTCCCACTCGCATTATACGTAATTTCAGACATCTAGATATTTTGGAAATCTAAAAAAATCTTTAAAATGCGTGTTGAAATCGACCTTAAAAGACCTTCCTGAATTATTTCATTTCAGTGATAAAAATTAATCGTTTAATTAGTTTACATAAGATGAGCAGTGCAATGATAAAATGCTTCGTTCAAGGAAAGTTTTCCTAATGTTTGCCTTCTTGATTTAGGTTCCCTCATCATTTGGCAATCAAGTACCAATATGCTACAATTAACAGCAACAAGGATCTTTCAGAGAGAGAGGTAGCAAATGGTGATGGAATTAGGCAATCAAATCCCGGGGGTTATCTGCGCATTCTGACTTGGAAACTATAACCCTGGCTATTACCAAGCCGTAATTAATAATACCATCAATCCGCCATAGTTCATCAGTGAGAAGTAGGGCAATATCTTTAATTTTTGTACTCCCACCCCTCCCCTCCCCCATTTAACGTCTAAGGGTTTGGTTGCAATAAAATATCTGCTTTAATAAAAAGACAAGCCTCAAATTTCCTACAATTTATTTTGAGCAGAGAATTAGCGTTCATGAGCCTTTTTTCCTATAGGATAAAAAGTCGTTTTTATCATGCCATTCATCACCATTTTTTGAATTTAGAAAATCCCGGAAGTCAAATCTACACTTACATAGCGCAGTCGTTATTCAAGGAGAATTTTAACTGCATATTTTTGTGTAACTTCGGCCAAACCAATGATAATTTGTTTTAAAGGCAAGTAATGTTATATCCACTATGAGAACACCGTTGTGGTAGGAAGAGCTGAAGTAGTTTGCCAATCGATTTGAGAGAACTATTTTTGGCAATATATTTTCCCCTTAACTTAAGAGCTTTAGTCAATGAAATTTGCCTCATTAAATATTAACAACATTAAACCATGGGGATTTGCAAAAGTAATTAGTGTTGCTATTAGAGCAAAATTAGTTAAGATCAATATAGAATAATTATTTGCAATGAACACTGCTACATTAAGATCAAGTAAACTCTAAAGTAAAATAAGATTTGAAGCTCTAAGATTGACCATCTCGATTAATTACTGGTCAAGGTAGAGTGGACATTACGGGCAAGAGCCTGCATTCGAAGAATATTGCACAAACTGAATCGTAAAATGAATTACTAAATTCCAGGATCTTTAGATCCCCTCATCTTGATCTACTAATGAAAGTTGATGTCAACCCATTTTCGTAAAAATGCAAAGCAGTTTGCATTTCTGCCGATTAGAATAGTATAGCTAACCTGCAGGTTGAGCAAATCACTAGCTTTTTTATCTGAGAATTCCCCTGCTTCTTCCAGAAGAAATCGTACAGTGGGGACAGCTCCAACATAGCAGGCATAATGGAGGGTTGTCATGCCAATCTTATCCGTTGCGGAAATATCACAGCCAGCAGAAACAAGAGCATATACCATTCGGAATCCTCTCTGACCAGCTTCAGCACATAGCATAAGTGGTGTCATACCTAATAAGAATGAAACATAAACCCTTTATGATGTTTATGATAACTCAAATTGGCAAGCATTCTACACATTGCCTTAAATTGTAACCTTGAGTAAGGGATGGATTTAGCAAACCAACAATTTACAATTAGTTCCATAGAACTGATATCAAGGCTAATAGAAAGAGGATCTAATTGTGCATCGTGACTCAAATCATTGCTGTCAACATCACTTGCAGTGTCTCTCATAGTTCTGAAAACCTGTTAAGGTTCTTAAAAAGAAGGTAGATTATGAGTAACCTTAGCTTCATTAACACACAGTTAGAGGAGACCCTCGAGTATGTAAAAGTTACGGTAAAGCTAAAGCAAATCCTGCTTGGGTATCAGCTATTTAAGTTGAAATATTTGTGATTGTCTTTTTCGAACATTTAATAGAGTTATTTATCAATTCAAAACAAAGAGTTAAGTTGTTTAAATGTTCTCTTCTTAATAATTAAGTCAAACTGAATATTGCAATAAGAGCATAATAATAATGGCGTTTTAATTGAGCGTTGTACTCACCAACATTATCTACTTGATTTAGATTGAGTCGAGATTTGACTTGCTTCGGTGAGCTTGCGATATCCGGCCTATAAGTAATAAATTCTAGAGAACTGGTATTTTCTGAAAGTAAACCAGAGAATAAAGTAAATATCAATTTAAAGGTGTGTAAAAAATCTCAGGGGGGTCAAACGTACTTTTCTTATTTCCATTGACAACCAGACCACGAAAGCTCGAGTTGGCAGCACCATCCAGAGTGCTGAAATTCAACACAGAAGATGCTGATAAAGCGTTCCTAAAATTGGCAATTGGAAGTAGCCGACTACAATGGAAAGAAGACCCTTTCTTTGTTGACGAATTGGTAGTTGAAGCTCTGGCGATACAGGGTTTGATGGAGCTCGTGGTAGTTGCAGACGCTGCTCGAAGGACTTTAGAGGTACAACCCAAACGTCGAGCTGGTGAACCATTGAAACTCGTCGGGCAAAGTAAAAGTGACGTCGTTGTGATTTTTGAATCGGACGTTTCACCCAGTTTTGCCGATCGAACATTTAGCTCATCAGCTCGAAGAAGAGCTAAGAGGAGACCTTCTTTTCTATCCTTTGCAGCTACCAGCAAAGGCGAATCACCAGATTGACTTAGGATATTGAGGTCAGTATTATTGTGCTAGCAAAATAGAGAATTTGATTAGATAGAAGTATTAAAATGTCACAGCTTCTAATTTGCCGACAGCGCCAACTAATGAAATCAGAAAAAAGTGAAGCAAAATGCTGATTATGTGAATTCAGCAAGGGTACAATAAAGTAATTCAAACAATTAAAAGAATAAGAAAACCAATGATTAGTAATGGGTACGCCAAATGATCATCACGTAAGAAAATTTAAAGACAACCAATATTGAAATGCTTACAAAAGTCAATACTTCAGCAATTTCCGTAGAGGCTATATGAAGAGGTGCCACACCATCATCGTCAAGAGTATTAGGATCACAGCCGTGTTTGAGAAGAACTTTAGCCGTTTCAACGAAACGTTCTGCGGATTGACTCGCCAATAAGTGTAAACAAGATTGACGTCTTTCTGTGAGTATAGACACTTTGGCACCGAAGTTGATTAAAAGTTCAACGATTGTTGCACGACCAAAGAGAGCGGCTTGGTGAAGGGGGTACCGGGGACAATCTGAGACGCTAATATCAGCGCCGGCTTTTATTAACAGTTTCACCATTTGTAAATGACCGAGCTCAATTGCGAGGTTCAGAGGACAAACTCCATCAATGACCATACAGGGATTGACATGATTTGGATAACTAAGAAGGTACTGCATACTTTCGAGGTTATTGCTTCTTATAACTCCTCGAATCAACCAAGGAATTTGAGCCTTAGTGAAACGGGGTTTATGACGCTGTTTAGAATATTGCTTCCCCATGTGAAATCGAGTGATTAAAAATAAAAGCGAAGAGATTTGTAAATAAGATAAAAGCAAATATTGCCCAAATGAAATCTAACAAAACCGACTACATATGTGTGATCTTATGTCGGCATAGATATGATGTCAGCGCGTCTTAGAGAGTTAATAATAATGCAGATAAAATAAGAAAAAAAGCGTCAAATTTTAAAATATCTTGCCTAAAATTCTGATAATTAAAGCAAAATTTAAAATATCAGAATTATACATTTAATGACAATTTATAACCTAAATACTCAAAAACAATTCAATAACAAAATATTAACATTCCTTTAGTCTACACACTTTGATTTATTTTATTGGTATTTCAACGAATCATGCTCATTGTGGTTATATAATCAGTCTCTCTGAGTTATAAATAACTGACATCAGTGCGCGTGATTTCTCGTGTGCTCTAACCTTCATTTCCACATGGCTAGCAGCGCTCCTGATGGCACAGAGCTTTTGGATATTCTGGACCCTAATAATTACGTTATAGGAGTTGTTCACATTCCTCCTGAATGTGATGCAAAGGATTTGTTCATTTCCACTTCACAGAAAACGCTAAAGAAGTATTTTAAAAAGCTTGCCAAACACCCCGAAAAGAAACTGCGTAAAGTCATTCCAACATCTAAAGTTACACAGAACTTTGAATTATTTTCGGAGGGACCCTCGTCTCTATGTCGAATGCCGTTCTTGGGAAAATCTAGCCAAGGAGGTCATTGTCTACGCCTTCTAAGTGTCCACCGTTTACAATTTCAACCCTACACCACAATTGATGATTGTCATGAGGAGTAAGTCTGTTTTTAGTCATTTTCTTAAATTCTGCATTATCTATGTCTTTAGTATGATTGAATAGTAAAGTGATGTTAAAGGAATTAAGATAGGGATCGATTTATTTAACATATTCAGTAACGGATAATTATTACTATCGTACTGATGCTGTTTTTATCAGTTTTGGTTCTAACCTATCCTCTTGTAGAATAAAACCTTTTCATTGATATATCGGTAAATGGGTTTATTAGGCCTTAGTCCAGTAGTAACCTAACAGAGAATAAGAGGCTGCTTTATGCGTAAATTTATCCATAAATTAAAATTTGATTTTGGCTACCGTAATTCTCTCGTCAAAACAAATTAACCTTTAACTGATCCTTGCATTCTACGTGCTATATATTTAGAAGTGCTGCATCAGTTTTTAATTTTAATTGTCCTCTTTTAATTAGAACAGGTGATGATCAAGAAACACATGAGACGGAGACGGAAGAGGCTTCTTCTCAAAAGCGATCCAGGCCGGATGATTTGGATGTTTCAAAAGATGTCCAACCTGGGAAAAAAAGAAAGACTTTGAATGAAGAATCGTAAACATCAGACTTGTAAATATGAAACTTTATTGCTTTTTGTTTTACGTATGGTTTTGTTCATTCTATTCTATTAGTGAATGAACTAATGTAGAGTGGGCTCGTCATTATTCCAAAACAATTTCGTAAATGCATAGATCAGTTACGACATGTAATGATTGTATAGAGGGGTGTGCGATAGACTTACCTCCATGTGGGGCACCCTGGGCAACGTATACTCATACGGCAAAAAAGTTTTGAGCGGCAGTTGACTTCTCACTTCAAACTATTATCACCCCACTGTATGTCATATTCGACTATTTCCATAGTGCGCATCTTACCCTTTTTCTAACTTTGTTTCTGTCTGTTACATCTTTGAATTACTTCTGTACCCCCTCCCCACTCTCTCGACTTTTTTCACTTTGATGTTCTTTCCTCTCGATGAATCCTGAAGTCAACTAAAGGGCTAATAATAACTATCAGAAAGACTGCCATTTGATATACAAAAATAAAAAATGATTGTATATCAACTAAATTCACTAAATTGCCCTGACTTATTGAATGTCGACACCAGCCGGTTTCAGATTGTTTCATCTCTACACAGAGAGGATGGAACGATCATATTCCAACTAAGTGGAGAATGATGATGTATATTGTATCTGATTTAGCATTTTAAATTTAATTGTCTTATGTAAATTCGAATGGCATATATAAGTTGCTCTAGCAATTTTTGATTGTTGAAAGCGTGTTGCACGTACAAGTCTTTACACTAAATACCAAAAAATGTAATTATTTGGCAATTTCAATTGCAGTTTCCACCAAAGTACTGAAATCAAAATGGCTTTAAACTGGAATTTTTCTGACACGAAGTCAATAAATTAAGGAACTTAATATTGAAATCGATACCAACACAAGTTAGAGGTCTCTTTATTCTTGACATTATAACAATTAGAAATTTCTAAGAGCAATCTGTAATGGGTTAGTCTAGTAAACTTGTCAAAAAGTACATTGACTGGCTGGCCATTCATCAATTTCCTATGTGCAGGCAGCGCAGCTGAGGCTAAGAACGCCAAACGATGGGCGGCAAATCCTCCAATCTGGTGATTGAGAGCTCTAAAGCAGGAGTCCTTTGACTACACCTTGATCCAATGACCACATTCGGTGAGACGCTTTCTACTCTCCATCTCTTCACTGCCCCTGATCCTTATCATACCATACCATGCTGTCTCACTATTCGTTGTGTTCGAATGCTCTTCCACGGTGTAAATTCGTGCTCATCTGCTTGCGAGTGTATTGCTATTTATAAATTTTCCTGATTTTGTTGTTCACGATTTTAACTTTTATATCTTAATTTATTATTATTTTTAATGTGAGCTCGGACTACTTTACCGCGTGTACGTTATTATTATTATGTTAATTTTTTGTCTATAACTTTGCCGTTACTAATAATTTGCCTACATAGATTGTAGTACGAATGATGATGTTGTTGACTGCAAAGGAATTATGACTTTGGGAGTCATTGGTCTCGGCAATATGAGATGTTTGGCCACCAGAGCTGCTTTAGCTTGTTACTTTGATATAGTAAGTAGTGAATAGTTTATTTCCTCAGTATCTCTACATCTAAGTTTGAGAGATAGGTTCTTACCCTATTCGTGTTTTATGCGCTACAGATTTGTGGTAGCATTTTTACATTGTCTGTTATTTTTGTGTGCATTTATATCAATGTTTTACTAGAAGTTTATTTGAATGAAGATGTGCATTAAGAATATCATGATGGTGGATAAATAAGTGCGGGTTTTGACCTAGTCCTTTAAGGTTTGAATGATCTAGATTTATTTATTCGTCGTTAATAGTAATTTTTGTGCTATAATTCTAACTATGGGTGAGCCAGGATTGTTATACATGAACTTTATCTCAGTCATTCGCTGAGGTTATAAAGTTGGAGAAACTTATGCCATCACTGCTAATAAATGCTTGCTAATTGAAAGCTAACTTTCTTCCCAAGAATAAGCAAGATTAAGTTACTTTAGACTGAATGTTTTCAAAATATTGAGAGATTGTTGTTAGATCAACTTGTGATTACGAGCATATGATTCTAACACAAATAGTTGAACTTTTGCATTAGATCATAGGCGTAGAGGCAAATTTATGCATTATTATGTATATGAGCTAGTTGTATAGGCTTATGGTTTTGTGAAATGATTGGAACAAAATTTGTGGAGCCTTATTGTAAAGTCATTTCATTCTATTGTTGTAGGTTTTGCTGAATAATCATGGTATAATAATTATTTGTTTCTTGTTGATGACTATTTAAATAGGTGGGTTTGGTAATGAAGTGCCACCTATATTGGGCGATGTATCCCATCTTAATTTGCCTCGTTTAAAAGCTTCAAGTGCTTGATTAGTGATTATTAGAAGGTGGTTGTGTGTTGGAGTCGAATTGACGTTTCTTATGCTTTCCGTACATATGGCTGGTGTATCTGTCTTCCATATAGGTTTGTATGCGCCTTATTAACAGTATTAATTTTGCTATAATGAATTATTTAGGACTTGAAAATAATAGAAATCAATTTTGTTTATGTGAAGAAAATTTGGCTTGGTTGTGCAAGCCCGTCTCGCTCGAAAGGTGTTGAGGCAAGTCGTCATAAGGTAACCTTAGATGAATTTGGAGTTACTTATCATACGTTTATGATTCAAATGAAATTATTTGCATTATTTTATATTGTGTTTTATAAAGTATGTACTGTTTATGCTAATATATTTTTTTCTCTTATTAGACATCCTTTTTATTTTTGCGATTTTTTTATTAATTAAATCTTTCATTAGTAGATTACTTTGTTGTTATGTTTTTGGGATTAATTGCTATTCTTTAATATTTTGTTTCTTTTATATGGGAGGGGTGTATATATTATTGGTTTTTTGTTTCGGTACATAGGCCAAATAATAATCTGTATACCTACAGTAGATTACATGACTTTTTAATCGTAGTGATAGTTGTTACATTTGTGTCAATTCTAATTTACAGTTCATTATTTACAGCATTTGATAAGTGGTAGTCCTAATCCTAAGGTCATTTTGAATGCGGAAATTAAATAGATCCATGTTGGTTGTGTGCACTGCAGAGATACGAGTGAACTGCCTTTGAAAGGTTGTGGGTAGAGTGTGTAGAGGTCAGGGGCATGGAATNAGAACGCAATCAGCCAATACAGATGCTTCACTAATACTTAGGAGTGATAGTGTGTGAAATCGATCGATTTTGGAGTGAGAATAAGGAAATATTGTTGAAGTGGTGATCTGAGCTGTTTATTTCCTGCTATAGGGTGAAATAAACAAACTGTAGCCGCACAAATATCACTTGTGTGGGTTAGAGTGGGGATGTTGGTTGCAATTTAGAAGACACTGAGGGTGGGTGGAAGAGAGAAGGACGAGAAGGAAGCACTTATTACTTCAGTAGACACGTAACCAAAAAATTTGAATTACCACTGTGTGATCTATGTTTGTGCATATTGTCACTATTCCATTCGCACATTGCATTCATCATGAGGTAGAGTTAAGGAAGTGAAGTTATCTAGTTGGTTGGTTTGTTGGTTAACTAGCTACTTCTGCCCAGAGCCCTCGTTCGCCGTCAGTCTCCTGGTCACCACCGCGGGTCTCTTGCCCGCTCCTGTTGGTAGGAGTGAATTGAGAAGGCGACGTGAATACAGGAGGCTGACGTTACCGCCCATGACCACGTGGAGGTGAGGGTTGGAGTTTCCTGGGTAAGGAGGCGCAGGCACTGCCCAGGTGAAGAAGTTGGGCACGCACTTGAAGCACGCTTGTGCCTACTCGTACCTCCACCCCCCACGCACAGCAAGTGCCCTTTTATTGCTGTGGTCTTATAGCCTCTACACTCCTATGACCATCATTGCCCACACATGACACCTAACTCATGCGTGCGTCCTAGCTTAGCCTATTCGAGGGTGCTTAGAAGCCTCTATTCTCTTGTAAGTCCATCCTAGTGGGTGCTAGTAGTACTACTATCAGAGCATAGGCCACCGAAAGGCTACCTATGAGTGGAGGATTGGTGGAGGAATGGGAATAACTGTGGCAGCAGGAAGAATGTGTGCTATTTGAGAGTGAAGCTGCTTAGGGGAAGGGGCTAGAGGAGCATAAGCATATAGCAGGAATTTATATCTCTAATGATGACTAGAAAACATTGAAATGGAGATGAGGTAAAGGGAGGGGGAGTAGTTAATCACACAATCCTAGCGCGCAAACTATGGGGAAGATATATATACGTGTGAATAAAATAGATTACTAGAAGAGGGAGTGGAATATCTGGTAAATGAGCAGGAAAAAAGATGGTGAAATTGGGATATGTTTATATATATAAATATGGATAAAAGTAAGACCCTTGAGAATGCGTGAGTTATCTGAGGAAGAAATAAGCCAGAGTATGAATGGTTATTGTTGGGGTGTCCTTGGTGAGAGTTGAAATCCGATTCTCTAGTACATGTTGGTGACATGGAAGGAAAAGTAGGAGCTAGCATTGAAAGGTTAAAACTTGATAAGGAATAAATATGAAACAAAGAATTTTGTGTCCTTTCTTTTTTATAGTTTTTTTTTGGTTTTTTGCTTAATTTTATGGTTTTTTTGTTTTTCATATTTTGTTAATCATTTCCTGGATTGAAAGTAAGGAGGAGGAGGAGGAGACGGAGAGGAGGGTAGCCGAGAAGAGACCGAAAGATGAGATGAGATGCGATGAGTTGTTGAAAGTCACTTGGGTTTGCACGTGCCTTTCCGTCGCAGAGGTTTCTGCTTGTAAAGTGTGTCACCCTGTGCACTCCCTTTTTGCTCTTTCTCCAACTTACCTACCATCTCATTATAACGAGTGAAAAGTCTTAGAGACTTTTCGAACTCCTCGAGTGCTTGTTCGAGCCTACTCTGTGAGATTCTGCACTCCTCGATGATATCCTCGATAAAGGTTGGAGAGATTGCAAAAGTCTCCCCACAGAACTCTTCCAATGACATTAACTTCTCCCCTTGTGTGTGGTCGCCGTCTCCGGAAGCCACTTCCTTACCTTCTCTATGAAGGTCATCTGGGTGTTCACCTTCCCCTCCTATTTCTCTCACGCTACTGTCCTCCTCCTCTTCTTCTTCTTCTATTGTGCTCAACTGGTCACCTCGAAACCTCTTAAATTGCCTTTCTAACTTCTCTTGGTCTCTTCTCTCTCTCCTCCTCTGCTCCGCCTCTTCATACTCCTCACAGAGTCTTTCAAGCATCAGAATTTCCCTTAAACTGGATGAGCACTCGCTATCTTCATATTCGTGTTCATATTCTCTACTCTCAACCTCATCTTCTACTTTCTTCTGCATAGCCTTCTGTTCTGCCTTCTCACTCGCGTTTTCCTGTTCTATTCTACTCTCTATCTCTTCCAAGTCTTCATACTCTTCACACAGCCTTTCGAGCATAAGGAATTCCCTCAAGCTAGATGAGGATTCGCTATCGGTGTCTGTGTCTTCTCTACTCTCAATCTTTGCTTCTACCTCCTTCTCATCCTTCATTGGACTCTCATTCGTAGTCACTTGCTCTATCTCTTCATCGCGTGTGTTATTTGTAGTCTTTTCTTTTCTGACCCACCTACGTCGAGTAAGTCGGAAGAAACGACGCGTGGTTGATGTACAGTTGCCCATTGCAGAAATATTGCGAAAGTGAAAATTTGCTGCAGTTTTTTTTACAGCGAAAAAATCCATGGAAGTATCGATCACCAATTAGGACAATTTACTCGATCGCTAGCGCGCGCGTTTTAAACGCTGTTCAAGCCTTTTGCAATTATTTAATCTGTGGCTCTGAATATTAAGTAACTGCCATCAGTGCGCTTGATTTATCGTTCGTTTTATTCTTCTATTTCAAATGGCTGACAGTTCTCCCGATGCCACAGAGTTTTTGGATACTCTGGACCCTAATAATTACGTTATCGGAGTTGTTCACTTTCCTCCAGAATGTGATGCAAAGGATTTGTTCATTTCCACTTCACATAAACGTCTTAAGAAGTATTTTAAAAAGCTAGCCAAGCACCCCGAAAAGAAACGGCGCAAAGTCATTCCAGCATCTGAAGTTACGCGGAACTTTGAATTAATTTCGGAGGGACCCTCATCTCTATCTCGAATGCCGTTTTTGGGAGAATCTAGCCAGGGGGGTCATTGTCTACGCCTTCTAAGTTTTCACTTATTGCAGTTTCAGCCCTCTAACTCAATAGATGATTCCCATGATGTGTAAGTCTGTTTTTAATCATTTTCTTAAATTCTGCATTATCTATGTCTTTAGTATGATTGAATAGTAAAGTGATGTTAAAGGAATTAATATAGGGATCGGTTTATTTAACATATTCGGTAACGGGTAATTATTACTATCGTACTGATGCTGTTTTTATCAGTTTTGGTTCTAACCTATCCTCTTGTAGAATAAAACCTTTTCATTGATATATCGGTAAATGGGTTTATTAGGCCTTAGTCCAGTAGTAACCTAACAGAGAATAAGAGGCTGCTTTATGCGTAAATTTATCCATAAATTAAAATTTGATTTTGGCTACCGTAATTCTCTCGTTAAAACAAATTAACCTTTAACTGATCCTTGCATTCTACGTGCTATATATTTAGAAGTGCTGCATCAGTTTTTAATTTTAATTGTCCTCTTTTAATTAGAACAGGTGATGATCAAGAAACACATGAGACGGAGACGGAAGAGGCTTCTTCTCAAAAGCGATCCAGGCCGGATGATTTGGATGTTTCAAAAGATGTCCAACCTGGGAAAAAAAGAAAGACTTTGAATGAAGAATCGTAAACATCAGACTTGTAAATATGAAACTTTATTGCTTTTTGTTTTACGTATGGTTTTGTTCACTTCTATTCTAAAGGGAGTGTATCGCTTTTGTGCTCAAGACTTTAGCTTTAATGATTAAAGAGATTACAGTCTTTCTAGGCAATAGTGGGTGTTATTGAATATTCTTACAAGATTTCTTGAAAGAGGTTTAGTGAATACACTAATGTAGAGTGGGCTCGACATTATTCCAAAACATAATTCAGTTTTCGACACGTAATGATTGTATAGCAAGGTGTGCGATAGACTTACTTCCACGTGGTGCACCCTGGGTAACGCATACTCATACCCAAAAAAGTCCATTGATCAGCAGTCGACTTCTGACCTCAAACTGCCAACGCCCCACTGTATGTCATATTCGACTATTTCCACAGTACTCACCTCATCTTTTTCTATCGTTGTGTCTGTCTCTCTTACTTCTGTGTACTTTAAGGTGTGCTTCATCGAATTTGTAAGGCAAGCTTGAAATTCGTTTAACGTCTTCCCAGTTAAAACTGACTTGAAAGCCATTTAATGGAATGAAAAATAATCACTATAAAAATCGAAAAATAGTTTAATATTAAAATACAGATATCTATAAGTCATCGGTCATTTCAGTCCAAAATTGTTTGAGCCTTTTCTCTGTTTCTTCAGAAATTCTGAACACTTCTCCCAGTCGCTTGTTCATAGATCTGAGCTTGGAAATATGGGAACGTCTTTTATCTTTCTTAGACTTGACAACAAATTTCTTCCAATTTTCATCTTCCCTTTGGCTTGGATACATCTCCTCCCAGGTCACAAAGACTAACTGTCGTGGAAGGCAACTTTTAGTCAAGGAAGTCACTACATTTGGAACTGGGGATGAGTTAACGAATGTCCTTCGGCGCGTTACTCTTGTGGTAGTTGAAATGTTGAACCTTTTCGAACGCGCAGGAGGGATTCGTTTATTCTCCTCCAAAAGACGATCCTCAAATATTGTATCCAGTGGTTTTAGAGACGATTCTGTTATTTCATTCTGTAGCCATTCTGGTAGCTGAAATTGCAAGACGTTATAAATAGGTAATTCTGGCAGAACATATATTCACCACTCGAGCTGTCCCTAAATGCCTGTTTTGAATGTGGATAGGCAAGTATTTCAAATTCAGACCATTCTTTTCTACCTAATAAACACCACTTAAATTTTAAAGCACCTAGGTAACCGATTCTGAAATGCCCATCATAAAATCTATTATTATTCAATATTACTTATCCACGAGCAAATTTGGTGTATTTTCGACATTTTCACGCTACACATCTAGCAAGCTACCTAAATGCGAGAAAAGATCATGCAGATGACATAGCAATTCTAAAATAAACAACGATGGAAGCAACTCCAGGGGAGTTGATCAAAACCTGCCTTTTTTAATCTACATTTTTATTGCTACCTCGAAATGTAAGGGATTAATTAAAATAAACTTAGTACCTGCTTACCTTCACCACTACTGACCCTATTCCATCCTGAATACTGTGGCAAACACCTTTGCCAGACAAGTATGAAACTCAAAAGAAGCTATTCGTACCTCTTGGGGTTCCTCGTCACCTGTGGGGGGTTTTATTTCAATTGGCACCATCTCCGTGGTTTGAGCAACACGATCTTCAAGTAAAGAACGCATTATTATTGAATGAAAATTTAGGGGGGTGGGGGTGAAATTGGCAATGTTCATAACCAACCATCTACGACATTTTGCGTAATTGATGACTTTCGACGACGTCTAGGCCTTGGTAAATCGCCATTTGCATGAGAGAAATTCTAAAATGGGAAGTGGGTTTTTTCGTTGTTAAAGGAATATGGGAAAATTGGGGAGGCATTTTACAATAATTTTCTTATTTGAAGCGAATCACACGGAGAGGGAATTTGACAGCTTCGAGTGAATACGTTAGTGAAGAAAGCATTAACAGTACTTGACTTCAAACATAAAAGCTCTTACCTCTTTCAACGTGTCGCTTCTTGAAGGACTCTTAACTTCTGATATAATTTCAGTCGATTGGGAGACACTACACCCTTTAAGTGGCTTAATGCAAACTTGAAAAAAAATAAGCACATGAAATTTAAACAGCACACAAACTAACCTTCTGCTACAGTTTTAGCCATTTCCCTAGTCCTAGGTATATCATCCTCCTAAAATGAGCAACGCATGACACGTCAATCACTTTCTTTTTACTATAATAGAGGATTAGACAAAAACATCAATAAGAATAAGATTAGACCGACTATAAATGCCAATTGAGTTTAAGCTATCAGTACTGTATTTGTAACCATTTCTAATTTGACTTCAACCCTAAAAATCTGCAAACATTCCAATTATCGATACGAAATTTTTAATATTGTCCATGCCTATTAATTTAATTATTAGCTCTGTACATATTTCATACATTTGTGAAAATGCACCAAAATTGTGGATAGTGGATGGGCCTAATGCGAAAAAAAATGGCTTTGTTAATCCCACGTATATTACTTAAATAAGAGATTTGAGGCTGCTTTGCAGGTTAATAAGAAAGTATTACAAAGTCGATGCAGAATTCAAAATCAGGCAAGCTCTTTGAAAAGTGGAAAGATAAGCATGAACATGATACCTGAGAAATGGGATACGAAGATAGGAAACCGCTATCTCGTCAGGGAATTGGGTCGTGTTAACTATTAGTCACCTAGAAACAACAGTGTATGCAAATAAGCCCTCTTGATCACGAGTGGAACGGACCCAACCCTAAATACCGTCTGCAATCCGCTACATCCATCTCTTCATTTACCGCAAAGATGGTCTAATGGTTTCACGAGGTGATTCAAGGTCTAGGTTCATGCAATCACCCTAAGGTGACATTAAAACTGATGTGGAATGTTCGGATAAAATTTCTTTCTAAGAGGCAAGTGTCATGCTAAAAAAATGAAAAGCGGCTAAGCTACCTTCACAAGAGACATCTATTCCTTGATTTTACTGAAACTGTAAGTGGTTATTTATCTCTTGTCGTTATAGAATCGCATTCCAAGTGGACCAAAGTTATTCTAATAAAAGCCATGACAACCATTACGTTGATTGCCATTTATTTTTAGGTCATGCGGTCATCGTAAACGATAATGTCACCAATTTTTTCAAACCCTCCATCATCATCAATCAGATTGTCAGACAATGACACACTAGCATCAAGAAACCGACACTTCGAAAGTGGACAACAGAAGTTTCTAAACAAAAAATAAAAGACTTTAAGATGTCCATTCGAATACAATGCAATACAATTTTCTAAAACCGTATGTGAAAATACGCTTAAGCCTTCCACTAAAGATAAATCTCGCTCTATCAGAATGGAAGTCAATGTAGATAACATAAATCACCAGTAAAATCGCACTGTACTACGACAGAACGAATCATGATGTTTGCCTAAATGTAAAGACAACTTCTTACAGATAAGAAAACGAGTCAACTGAAATAATCATTAGATTACAATTAGCCTCTAACTTGGATCAGAAGGCCAATAAATCAGTAAGCAATTAGAATAACATATTGATAATAGCAGTACAAATCCATGTGCAGTGAAAATTAGACTAAGTAAATTTCCAACCGGGTACCGAGTGTGTTCAAAACCGCATGAACTCTAAATAATCGGAGCACGTATATATTTCAGAAAGCAGAAATCACCCACCTTCGGGACCTAAATAAATGGAAATATCGATAGCAAAGAAAATAAAGGTAGTTTAAAATCATCATAAGATAACCATTTGACCTCAACATAGATGGGAAATTATCCGAAAAAGGTATTTATGGATGGCCAATTTTTCTCAGAATAAAGACTCAAATTTGCGTAAATAACAAATAAAATTACTCCCGAAAGACGTTTATGAGGCTATTAAATGCGTTCAATGAAAAATAAAACTCACGTCATGGGAAACTGAATTTGCTAAAATGAATTCTGTAGAAGTAAAGACATTGAAAATGATCAATCAAGATATAAAAAAAGTACCTTGACGGACTCACTAGGAAAATTTCTGGGTTCTTTAGAAATACAAACTTTGGAAGATTTCTAAAGAACGAAAAGCAATTAAAGATAGTAAAGATATAATTAATTATTTACGATAAATATACAGCTGTACTTACAGAGTTACCTCTTGGCCTTTTTAAAGCTATAGGACAATCATCGAGATTCAACTCCTTTTCGAAAGAACCTATCATTCAATAAAAGTAAAAGGGTTTTGGAATTTTATTTCGAGTGAATTATTTCGTAACGCGTATATAAACGATAACTCCAGCCTGTGAGGCATTAAGCAAACAAACGTAAACCATAAGCGCTGAGATGTGTGTTCAGACTCACGTTTGAGGGCCTTTCCATATGAACGATAAGACCCAGGCAGCAGTGGCCCTTGAAGATTGCAAATGGTCATGTTTTCCTCTTCATTGACAGGATCAAATACATCATTAACTTTAATTCCATCCATTTCTGCCGACAGAATTACGAGTTTTGAAGCAAGAATAAAATATTTTGAGAAAAAACTGAAATCGGGCGTAAACTATTACAAAACAGATGATCGAATATTAGAAATACTTTGCCAAAGGACATAATGTTATAAACAAGTAATCTTTTAAAGTTAAGTTGAGGAATTGAAAAAACTATAAAAACCATAATATCCATAATTTTAACGAGATCAAAAGTGAATGGGTTTGCAAATTTGTGCTGGAAATATCACCAGACTATTAACATTCTTAATACCAATTTCAATAGACATTAGGACATTGAGACATTTGACCTATTAACATAGGTATAATTTACGATTTCTCCTCATGATTTTGTTGAAAGAACTCGCAAAGCTAATACGAGGAAAATCAGTTCTGGTTTCATTTACCAAATGCTTATTGTCTGAATGAATTGTTAAATTGTACGGTACGATTTATAAAGACTGTCAAATCGCCTCTCGATTTATATATTCTACTCCGTGTAGTAGTGGTAGTAGCAGTGGCCTCCGTTTATTTTTGAAAACATTATATGTACACACACACACACACTAAAGGCAAATTTAATATTCCAATTTGAAAATCCGAAATACAATGCGGAGGAGAACAGGATACTTTCCGCATCATGTTCAAGTGAAGGATAGAGGCGCTTCTATATATATATATATATTCTAACTTAGTGTAATTTGATGAGCTGTTGGAATCTTGGAGAACGCTCATCGAATTCCCAAATATAAATAAATATGTCATAGATGTATTTGATGTGATAAATAATTGCGCATTTTTTGTTGGTATTAATTTTTCTGAAGGCCATATTGACCAGCCTGTAAAAAACAGTAACTTGACTTTAGAAATGAGTGAAAATTAATCTATAATATTGTATGCTACAATACTTGCCAATTTCTTAACCATTCATCAGCAGAATTTTTTGTGGGGCTCTAACTTTTTTGCCAATGTTTGCTGTAATCTTACGAGTCTAGCATATATAAGCTCATTTTGGTAGAGGATCGTACGAACCTAATAGAGTTAAAGGATTATTTGATACAAGCAGTATATATATATATATATATAGTATGCCGATAAAAAACAGACTACTCCGACTGAATTGGTTCCTAGCTTTTATATGATGTAATTGCAAATACACAAATAACAGTGATTTTTGACAGTACATTTTAAATGTAATTTTGAAAAAATCATAATTAATAGCAAAGAATATCATTCATATTTAAAAATAATTGCTCTCCCAGAAAAGGAAATTTGTAGCGCAGTTTTTGGTGTATTTTAAGATGTATTCGTGTTTAAAAAAGCATATCTTTTGAAATCGAAATTTTTTATTGAATAAGCTTAGAAATGAAAATTTTCATTGTCTTTCTATGTATGATATTTGAGTTTGCGAATATTGTAATATCATTTTCTCAGTATCTTGTGGGTTTTCAATTACCCTTAATTTTAGCCCCGGTAAATATCCAGTTCATTCATTGGCTCCGCTCAAGGCCTTTTAGCACTATTCACCTGCTGGAATAACACTCGTGATATCTGGTTCCTTGAGAAAATCGACTGGATATAATTGTTTTCACCATGAAAACTGGTACGCTATCATCAATTTTATGCCAATTATTTTATCATTCTTCATGATTAAAAATATTGGCTATTGTAAATGATATTCAAATTTACAATCAAAATGAGCCTATATACTTAATAGAGCATTTTGCTATTGCTAGTAACTTCGTCTTTTTAGTTTTGCCCAGATTATCGTTCTAAAAATATGTTTTCTTATTTCCTAATGCATGTCTGTTTTGTGTTTTTTTATTTTCATTGTTTTGTTTATTTAGCCTTTTTTCACTTTTCGATTAATACTATTTGTTGTTGTTGACGGTTTCTTTATTTATTTATCGAGTTCTTTTTAGGAATTATCACAGCATCATCAAAATTTTCGAAATTATTACTTTAGTTTTGGCTGTCTTTAGGTTCTTTTTGGTAAATCAATCTTCAACTTTTTCCTTTTATAGCATTTGAAATCTTTATATCATGACTGATTTCCGTTATTACTCGTTCAACATTCTTTTACTTTTTATTTTCCTTCTGTTTCATGTCCTGAGTACCAATGCTCTTTGTGTTTCCACTCTTTTTAATTTCAGTTAAACCATATGGTAATGCCTTCATTTTCACACTTTCTCCTGTATTTGATCTTTATTGCGTCTGGTTTATATTTTTATCCCTTTTTTAATTTTCTGTTTTAAAATTAAAATTGTTCTTATTGATTTCAAGGTTTCTAAGGAGAAAGATTGGCAATAGAGTGCTTTTCTTTGGCTTGGTTTTCCTATTTCCCACTCTTCGCGTTAGTTTTACCATCGTTATCATCGTCGTTATTATCCTAGTCATCGCTTCAGTTCGTACCGCGTATAATGTGCGTCCGTGCACTTCTTCAGCATGTTTTCGCCAACCAGCGTAAAATCAATAGAACTAAGTAACGCTTAAATGCGTCTGCTTGTCCTCTTCTGATTGGCTTGCAGGCGCGTATTGCAGTGAGTCATTCTCCTTTCTATCGCTAATGGACGTGTACACGGACGCACCCTCCCGCATACCGTCGCATAAAATAGGCGCAAGGAGTTGCTTTGGGTCATGATTTCCTTCAGGGTTGGTTTACTGCAGGAATTCGCCTATTTTCACCCTTGGTTATTGCCCTTCCCATTACTAATAGTACTTCTGTATCCTCTAGTGGCCGAAAGGTTGTTTCGAGTACTAGGAATGAAGACATAGATTCCTCTGCAATAGAATAGTATGGTGTTGAAAATGTTTTATTTTGCGTCGAATTAGTAATAAAATGGGAATTTTGTGCTATTTAGATATAGTATTTGTGAATAAAGAAGCAGACCTCATTTTAAAGGGCCTTGAGATCTTCATAAGCTGTTTACGTTTAAAACGGAAGCATTTTGGGGTGCCTTTTTATATCTGACAATTGTTGCTCTGTTTAAATTACCTGGTTTCAAACTTCCCTATCTTGAATATAAGCTTACGTTTGCTTCCTAGAATTAGTTGATCAACTATACCGTCTTTTATAAAAAGTTTTAAAGATTATTTATAATTCTATATAACACTAATGATTCTGCACATATTTTCTAATTCATGAGATCTTGCTTATTTTTATGGACCGTATTGCTATCTGATTCGTGTGTTGAAACGGATTCATAATTCATTCCTTCACTTTCAGAATTAATATGAGCTTCGAAGCGATAAATTTATTTATTTCAAACGACAGGTGTTTTGGTGGTTATCATTATCCCTTTAGTTGACTTCAGAGAAGAAGGAACATCGAGGTGAAAAAAGTCGAGGGGGGGGGGGAGAAGAGTGTTTCAAAGATGTGACAGAGACAGACACAAAGGTAGAAAAAAGGTGAGGTGAGTACTGTGGAAGTGGTCGAATATGACATACAGTGGAGTGATGATTGTTTGAAGTAAGAGGTCAACTGCGGGTTTATAGACTTTTTTGCCGTATGAGTATACGTTACCCAGGGAGCACCACGTGTAAGTAAGTCTCGCACACCCCTCGAAGCGAAAAATACTTAACGAATTTTGTCATTTAGCACATAAAGAGAATGTTCAGATAAGGAAGTAAGTGCTAAGCAAAATCATTTCTCATGTCTGTTTTTAGTAAAACTAATTTTGAATCTGCATCTTGATAAACAAAAAGCCGTCAGTTAGTGTTTTTTCTATGGCACCCATCATACATATTGTAACTTATTTACTTCCAACAGATTTCCTTGTCTTGGGAGTATAAATCTTTCCAAATAAATTTGCCCTCCCCCCTCTGATCCCTATTTCCAAATAAACCTGCGAAAGCGACAATGCGCAATCTCAAATGTCGGCAAGATGAAGGAGTTCACTTACAATTCTCTATTCGGTCTCATCTGCATAAGGACCAAAAAATCATGATTTAAAATTTTCACATGCATAGGTTCACTAGTCTAAATTGCTCCAATTAGCGTCCAATTCGATGGGCTTCACATAAAAAAACATAGGTAAAGGTCAGCAAAAATGTTAGTTGACATGGCTAGCAGAACTCTTGTGAATCAAGTTCTTTTCTCTCCTCTAATCTACAATAGGTCATCTTTCAACTTATTTTTAATGAAAGTGTGATTGTTTGGCTTTGCAATAGTTTAGAATCCTTTGTAAAGGAAGTATTTATCGCAATAGATTTTGACTCTGCCATTTATCTTTGATTATATTATTTAGCTACATTGTTATCTATTTTAGCATTTAATAGTCAAATATTTGCAATACTCCCATAGGAAATACCAGTGGGAATGTGAAGGCACTCCCCAAATTGATGATCTGATTCCTACTATTTGACTAACATGATGGCTATCTTCTACAAAAGAGATGATTTTTGCAAACTGCTGTCTAAACAATTTTTTATACTTAGATTTGTAAATTATTTTTTCCAACCCTCTTCACTCTATTCGAATGTGAATCAAATTTTGTTTATGCAAATCAGACGCGGGCGGTATTCGTTTGTTCGTGGCAGTTATAGTTGTGCCACTAGGTAACATTTGGAAGGCAAGTTGCTTGCAGTCGCTTTTTGCTTACTTTAAGGGGGTTGCGGAAAGGTTTGAAAAAACCAAAAAGCAAATAATTGTACAGTTTTTCCCCTCCATTCCTGCTGTCCTACGCCATAAATCTTCACATTTATAACTTTTATAACGTAATTATTGAATCGCTCAGTATAGGCATCCGATCTGAAGTTGCATTGAAAGGAATTGTTACTTGTACAGCTGTAGAGGTACTTTAAAACAAACTCGCGGGGATTGAGTTGGGAGTGGAAGTATCATGAATACTCTCCCAATGTGTAACTTTTGGCTAAAATTTCATCCACAAGAACACCTTTTCCTTATAGGCCCGCTCTTTAAAACTTTATTCAACTAAATTAAATTTTTTAGAAGAGGATTGAAAAGCGATTACTGATTTCAAGGAATATGACCAGATAGGTGGTTATATCAAAGGCACTAATCTGGTTGGAACGAAATTTGACTTTTTCCGTCTTGAAAAGTACAAATTTCTCTTATGAGTTCGAACAGTGATTGGTGCCTAGTGGGCCCTACTATCTTCGTATTTTACATTTTTCACTATAAATTCATTTCTGTTACATCAAATTCTGGAGCTACATGTGTTTGCACGACTCCCAATTTTTCACACCAATTGTATTTCATTTGACGCTTATTCCCACTTTTTAGCTTTTTACTCTAACTCCGTCATCTTTGTAATCTGAATTTCATTAGTTTCCAGTTATTTGTCTTGATTATTAAGAAGTGCCTCCATTTCACTAAGTTGGTTTTAAAATATGCATAAATAGAACTATGTAAGTGAAATTCTTGCCTCATACATTTATTTATTTCGAATGGCAGGCATTTTGATAGTTATTATTAGCCCTTAACTGACTTCGAACTTAACAGAGGGAAGAAACATCAAAGTTCAAGAGGGTGGACCGAAGAGTGATTTGCACACCCAATGATAGAGAGTAGGGTAAGGTGGATACTGTAGAAGTGGTCGGCTATAACATACAGTGAGGTCATGGTAGTGTGAAGTCAGAAGTCAACTGCCAATTAATAGACTTTTTTGCCGTATGAGTATACGTTGCCCAGGGTGCACCTTTATACACAACTCAGCTTCTTTTGATATAAGACTACTCGGTCTTTTGTTAATGAGTGTTAAAAATAAAATCAATTTTCGATTTACTTATAGCAATTGTAATTTTTTCTGGTGAAACATTACCATCTTTTGGTAATCAATTAACAAAATAGAGGTCTAAGGCCCTACATAAACGACCGTCTCCTCTAATTGGAAAAAAGGGTTCGCAAATTGTAATTCCAGTAGTAATAATGGTGGAATAAATGAAGTTTGAAAACCAGAAAGTATTCAGGTGTTCACAAACCAATTTTAGATTTGAAAAGTTTAGTCATTTTCATCTTGTTTTCCCTTGATGACAATTATGTTCAACACCATATGCCTCTTCAATTCCATTGGGTAGGGGAATGTTTCTTTGTGTGTCTATTTGGGGATGCAGGTGTGAATTCTTTTTAAAGATTTGAACATATGTTGTCTGATGACGAGTAGTAGGCTTCTACTGCTGTTCTACAGAAACTCCATACTTTTGGTCACCAGTCATAAAGTTTTCTCCGATTTATTGGTCGATTAATTTCGGCATCAGTTGGTGTTGGCTATTGTTGCCGCCCATTAGAGAGAGAGAGATGTACACATCTGAATCACTTTCACGACTGTATGCACACATTTATTGGGGCTTTATCGTTGCCACCTAGCATGTTCCGCTGCTACTTCTGCCATATCGCTGATGACAAGTGACACAATTGGCATTTATCAAGAAATTCCACATTGCATTACTGACTTGTATTAGCTAAGCGTGAATGTGCTTTGACATATCAATCAGAAATTGATCATTCTTGTTTGTATTTAATTTTAGATGGAAATAGGTTAACTTAGAGGAATAGTTCAATGTCGACTAATTCGCCACAAGGAAATTAAATGGCCAGAAGTGGGGGGCTCATGTTAACAAAGTATTTATATCAAATGGCAGGCGTTTTGATGGTTATCATTAGCCCTATAGTTGACTATAGGCTTCACAGAGGGGAAGGCACATCGAAGTGAAAATAAGTCGAGAGGGGGGGGGGGTACATAAGAGTGTTTCAAAGGTGTAAAAGAATCAGACACAAAGATAGAAAAGTGGTTAGGTGAGTTCTGTGGAAGTAGTCGAATATGACATACAGTGTGGTGATGGTAGTTTGAAGGGATAAGTCAACTGCCGATTAATTGACATTGTTGCCGTATGAGTAAACGTTGGCCAGGGTGCACCACGTGGAGATAAGTCTATCGCACACCCCATGTTAACAAAGTAACTCATTACAGTTCGTATAGGATATATGCTTTAAACAAGTGGACGTGTAGCTTCCGAGGACTTCGGGCCTTAACAGTGAATATTAGGGCTTTTTGATTTTAAACAATTTCACTGAAATTTATATCTCTTTTACGTTTTAATAATTACGTTAGTCTTAAACGCACTCTTTTTCACTTTACGGCAGAATAAATTGTCCATATTGAACTAGACACGCTTATAACACTTGGTGCTTTGTACTTTTCCTCGTCTTATCAATTTCTATAAGCCATGCATTAAATTTTACGTAAATCAAATTGCCATAAACCTTGGACTAATCTTTCCAATAAATTGTAGTTTTGTAATTCTCATGGTTTGAAATTGGTTGGGAGGTTCCCAATTTTCCATCGTTTCTCACCAAACGAAACTTCAAAGCATTAGTAAGGCTTGATTTAGTTTACTACGCGTGTTCAACTCTTAAGGTTTACTACAACTCGCTTTAAGTCCGAGAAAGTAGTATAGAAAATGTCACGAAACATTGGGGTCCTCACTAGTTTGCAACGAACTAATGCGGACATTTTACTTGCTGGTCTGCTGTCTAATTACTAATGTGGGTATGGGTGGACATTAATGTAAATAATTAGCTTACAGCCATGATTTATTGCAGACACCCCTCATATTAAACGGGAGACAATGGTTTATGCGGTATTAATCGTTTACGTGGATTAGGGAGTTTCATTGATCTTCGAAGAAAACCATTCTCGTTAGGTATGAGAAATTTGTGAGATTAAATCTTTCATATGTTACATCTGCAAAAGACCCAATTAATTCGGTCAATAAATACAGTGAAAATAGCAAATTAATTCTCATCGTCCTTTGCGAGCTAATATTATTATTATTATCCATCGAAAATTCTTGTGGATGTATTATTGCGAATGTATGAAGCAGATATTTATTTATTTCAAATGGCAGGCGTTTTGATGGTTATCATTAGCCCTTTAGCTGACTTCGGGTTTCACAGGGGGAAGGAACATCAAAGTAACAGAAAGTCGAGGGGTGGGGAACAGAAGAGTGATTTAGAGATGTAAAGAGACAGACATGGAGGCAGAGAAAAGGTAGGATAAGTACTGCGCCAGAAGTCAATCGCCAGTTAATAGACTTTTTTGCCGTATGAGTATACGTTGCCCAGGGTGCACCACGTGGAGGTAAGTCTATCACGCACCCCATGAAGCAGATATCTACCCACTGTGAACCTTTTACCCAACATCTCCCCGCGAAGTGTTACATTCATCTTCGGATCGTAAGATATGGTTACGTTTCGATAATTGAGGTGTTTACGATAGCGCACCCGGATTTGGTCAATTCTACGAGGCGTCGTCCGGTTCCCAACGCGCACAGAATTAAATATCTCTTCCACATAGTTTTAGTTAAATCATAATGAAATGTCAATTTTTTCAAGATATATTTGTTTTCATAAACCCGGTATGGTCTGAATTATTGAATTATTAGGTCATGTTACTTGGTCTTCGACATGCACCTCATTGGCATCATAAATTTTAGACTTATCTTTCTCTTAAGGCAAAAGTGGACCATTATCCTCTCCGATCAATTGTTACTCTTTCCACTGACATTCACATTTTTGAACAATTAAATGTTTATTATTTCGAATTAAATATCGGAGGGAAAACATTAAAACTATAATGTGCTTCAACAGCGCATTTAATTTCTCAATATTGATTCCTGCTTTTTGTAGCGTTTTTTATTCAGATTAAGTCTTTTCTTTTTTTTCGTTATCATTTCCTCTCCATTCCATTTTATTCACCATTGATTTCCGAGTTGTCGCCTCGTCTGGCTCCCATTTTATGCCCATAAAACCTTGAGATTGACGTTAAATTGGAATTCTCTGCCCACCCCCCTTGTCTGATGTCTAAGTTGGTGTTTTTTCTTGTCTCAAATAGTTACGAATTGGGCGCGCTGGAATTATTTTATGATTGTGGTTGCCTGAACTATTTAAACCTTTATATATGGGCATTCATTTTTATCTTCTATTCGGTTGTAATTTTATTGTATTGTTTTAGTTTGCTCATTCCGTCTTTTTTATTTTAAACCGTAATCAGGTTTACCTTATTTTGAGGTCGAATCGCAATCAGATTCCTTTTTTTACGGTTCCTTACTCTTACCTTCTTGTCTTATCTTGACGCAAGGTCTAGTTTCTGTTACCTTTTGCCACTACCCCCTGTAATTGTTTTGGCCTTAGTGACCCGTGCTGACTCAAGGAAAGGAGGTAGATCGTTTGTAACTTAATGACAGCCTCTTGGCTTTGTTAAAAATGCTCATATTAAGATATGCCATTGGCTGCTTGGTTTGCCAATAATTTCAAATGTCAACATTGCATTCCTGTGTGCGAAGGTGGAGAGGTAATAATTGATAATCCACTACACGAGTAATAATGCCTGTGAACAAAGTTTCCCGATTTTGCTTCCTCTCACAACCTTTTTTGGAACAGAATACATTTTCTTGCTTTCATCATGACTACGAACGCTTGTTACGTACATTGAATGTATCAATTTATTTAGGAGCTGTCGTATGTTTAGGCTAGATTACTCTCCCTAATTTGTCTGATTTATGAAGAGATTAGGTTTCTTGAAAATTGAGGCCACTCTAAGATATCTTGAAGGAGGTTTCTTTCATTGATGGTTGATGAAATACGATAGCTTCCTAATCGACCCTCCTTATTTTTTTTCAGCCTGAGGATATCTACTGGATTACAACCACATGATGGAGTCATCAAATGTCAGCCTCTCAGTACTCCTTGGCGTTGTGGTATTTGTCTGTTTTCTGTCCAGTCCAACAGAATCAGCAGGTCTCGCCTCATCTGATGCCAGCGATGTCAAAATACGAAGTAAGTCCCTATTTCTGTTGCACTTAATAGCAAATCGTATAGTTAAGCGTTTAAAAGATACCATATCGTTCTTGCATCCTTTTTCGTTGGAAATTTGCTAAATACTAACACTCCTTTTAAACTTGTTTACCTCCTAAAAGGCATTTAAAAATAGGAATTGATAGTCGGGCATAAGTAGTCTTACTTTAAACTCGCAACTACACTGGTGCAGTTGCAATAGTACCCGAAAGCAATATTATATCATGGCAAAGGGAGTTAGATGCTGAAGTAAGTGTTCTGTAATTTCACCACGTGGTCTTGAAATTGTGCTTCCTTTGTACCGAGATTTTTTAATCGATTACAGGACGGTTTGAAATAGGATTTTCTGCTAGAAAAATAGTTCTACCCAGTACTTCATCTTTTTGTGTTTTCATGGTCAAAACTCTCAAGTTCTTTTTTTCGTCCCGGATTGGTGGTATTTGATTGATGCTTTCGTGGCATGGAAAAAAGGCCTTGTGTGCAGAATATTGTGGGCAATTCCTCCTTCCTTCTGTTATAACTGAAATGTCTCAAGAGGAAAGCACTTTTATGTACAAATAAGGCATTTAGCACAATGCAGTCTAAAATTATGTATGCATTGCAGTATTCATTGTCGCATTTAAAGGTAAAAATTAACGTGTTTTTTTAAAAGATCTAGATGGACGGGACCTGAAGCTTTATTTGATGATCGGATGGTACATGAGTATCACATGCCCATTCTGTTGTCATAAGTTTTGTGCGAAACTTCTTCGCGATCTATACACTTATATAAGAATGTCCTTTTTGTCATTGTCATCAACTTTCCCATTCAAACAATGTTTTGGATCTTTGCATTCTTTGACTTTTCAATGATTGTAGTGAGCTGCTCTTTAATCGCTCTGTACTTCTTCCTGTATAGTTTCGAAGATTGAGTTTAAGACACACACACGTCTATTTATTTAAGCTACAATTCCAACATTTTCTTTTCGCTTTCTCCCTTTCCCTGTTGCCAACTTTAAGGTTAACGCCTTCCAGGAGCGCCGATGACTCATCATTGCGTAGAGGAAATGTGGAAATAAAATACAGCGAGGGTGCAAAAAATGGAGGAGTAAATTTATGTGAATTGGGTTAGGTGCACACAAGTGTGATAGTATGCCATCCCTAATGTCGTTTATAACTTTTAGTGGGAAGAAAGGAACTGTTCGTGTGCACTTCCATGAACACTGCCAACACCATAGGCATGATGAATCACATTAGCATACGTTGGCTCTTATTGGAGATGCTATCTAATCGCCTATTTTGTTGTGTAGATGGTATATGTGTCAACCCCTTTCGGTGTTAGGTTTGAATCCTTTTAGATCGTAGTTCGCCTTGATTTAAGTCATTGGGGGTGCTTTGTTAACCGTTTCAATTACTTTCGCATTCTGGATCTTGTAAATCACTCTTGCAGCTGTATGCTCCATATATATATATATATATATATATATATATATTCCATTTAGAAATTGTATCAGAGCCAAGTCTTAAATAGATTAATCTTGTTTGCACGGCTAGTTGATGGAATTTTTTCTCTTATGGCCTTCGGGTTATCTTTTCAATTTATAATCTGTATCCTATGTTTGTTGGAAGGCAAATGCTGCCATCGTTTTTTTTCGTGAAGGCGTCCACAGTTAGAAATATTTATTTATTTCAAATAGCAGGCATTTTGATAGTTATCATAAGCCCTTTAGCTGACTTCAGGCTTCACAGAGGAAGAGGGGGAACATCAAAATGATAAAAAGCCAAGAGGGGGGTAATAGAGTAATGATTCACAGATGTAAAAAAAGATAGGCACAAATGTTGAGTAAAAGGTAAGGCGAGATCTGCTGAAATGGTGGAATACGACATACAGTGGGGTGATGGTAGCTTGAAGTGAGAAGTTAACTGCCGAATAATAGACTATTTTGCCGAATGAGTATACGTTGTCCAGGGTGCACCACGTGGAAGTAAGT